TCAATGAGAACCCCAGAAAAACAACACAGCCGTTAGCAGTTAGCACTCAGAGCTCACAGCTCCTCATATCTGTTCAGAAACTAGACAACAGTTAAACAAGTACAAACCACAGACTGCCTGTGTCATGGTGAATACAGTCGCTGCTTTATTTATGTCTGTATAGGCCGTTGTTGTGAGTGTGGACGGTCGGAGCATATACTGCGTTAGCTTAGCCAATCTCCATTCAGAAAACACGCATTTTAAAAGGTTTTTCGCCTGCCGTCTGTCTGCAGACTTGACAAAGCATTAATTCATGGTTTTTACTAACCGGTATCAGTATGTTGTTACTTCATCATTTTGAAACGTGTATTACAATTAAATCACGGTCAAATATGTCCATCTTGTTGTAGTTGTAGCCCCCTTGCCAGCGATGCTCTCTCTAGTTTAGCATACTCAGCCCGACTCAGCCTCGTTGTCTCTGGCCCTAGACCCGCGATTTTATGAGGCCAGAAAAACTGTGAATTAGGACCCGCTAGCCGGTACTAGGCCAAGTGGAAACGCAACCAAAAACGGGCCCCGCACGGCTTGGCACGCTTAAAGCGAGCTCCGCGCTGCAGTGGAAACGCGCCATAAGACTCAGAGGGATGTTTGTGAGAGAGGATTGTGCTCAGAGGGTCAGGGACGATCTCACAATGGAAGACTTTCAGGATGACACAGAACTCTGAGGACACGTTTACCTACAAGGTCCTCGAGTCGTGATGGGTTTGAACTTTTCTCGATGTTGTCCATTTGGAACTGTCAACAGCCCGTATCAATGGGACGAAACAGAGATTCTCTCCCTTTCTTGCCATGTGGGACCATTCAATATGTCCGCGCTGAGTGATTGACTGTCAATTTTTAAACAGCTTTCTCCTCTCCTCCCCCTCCATCTCTGGCTCCACAGTTCAACAGTGTCCTCGCTGACATCGGCTCCATAACTAGTCTCCACGCTTCCCATGAGCCCTTTGGTGACCTGCCGCGCCGCGACATCCAGAGATAACTGCGTGCCAATCATAATTGTATTGGGAGAAATGGATTAGGAGGATCCCCCGCCGAGCAGCAACCCGCTGGCAACTAGATTACTTTTTGGTTGGATCCACTTTCTAACACCGACCGTCCGTACTTCAGCTTCAGTTTGTCATTTCCCACGTTTCCCAGAGTGCCCCCACAGAGCTGTGTTGATAGAGAAGCTGACATCTCTCTTTCACTTCAACAATAGACTCCTCTCTGCGGCAACTGTTAGCTTATTATTCAAGATGTTGCCTTTTCATTTTGTTTCTTGTGTCACTTTAACATGAGAGTGAAGCAAAGAAACAAACAATGAATCTTAAATGTAAGATGTGCAACTGTGCTGGTTGTTAATTGAGCCTCAGGGATGTAAATATTGGAACCATAAACTAACAAACTAAATAATATGGTAAATGGACTGTACTAATATAACGCGTTATCCAGTCTCTTCGACCCCTCAAAGCGCTTCACATACTACGAGTCGTTCACACCTCATTCATGCAGAGCCACTTGCTCTAGGCAAGCTCACACACACACACACACACTCACACACACACACACACACACACACACACACCACACACACACACACACACACACACACACACACACACACACACACACACACACACACACACACACACACACACACACACACACACACACACACACACACACACACACACACACACACACACACACACACACACACACACACACACACACACACACACACACACACACACACACACACACACTGTGACGTGGTGCAGACATGAACACGTTTGGTGATCATCCGACTTTACAATCCGCCCATACATCAGGTTGTGTTTTAGTTCACAATCAAACTAGTAAATATGAGAAGCGTGAACGTTGGTCTGAACAAGGAGCATTGTTTATTCCAAATTGGTGAAGAATTAGTGGTTTCTTGATCAAATAGATGGAGACAAAGTATTTGCAGGCCTTTGGCTAAATGGGGACTTCGGTGCAAATGGACAACGTTCCTTTATATCAAATGAAAATGGGAAATGGCTCCAGGGGTTTTTATTTTTTGTTGGCTTAACGATTTGAGTTAGTCAAATAGTGTTGAAGGGGGAAGTTTAATGCTGGATTCCTAATAAAGTCAGCAGAGCATTTGTACTTCATTACTGTTGGACTCCCTACGACTGAAATGATGCTAAACTGAGCAGAGAGGGCAGCACAAAAGGTTTCTTTACAAGTAAAATCTCTTTCACACGGACAGAAGAAAAGGATAAAACCCACGGGAAAAAAACATATTTAGAAAGGAGACGAATAACAAGTGCCTGTAAATGGAAAATTACGAATAAATCCACATTTTAGGAGCTGGTCAGCAAAAGATATCTCCATTTTGTTATGAAGGAAAATAGCCCTTTTAGTAATTTCCACATGTCACTTTCTGCTTAAGAGCCATGGTTCGGGCTCTAGATGTTTTAAAGTGCTCTCTTCTGTCTCTCTAATGGGTAACTGATAAAAAAATAAACAAAACTCAAACTGCTCTGATGGAGTCATGTGGCGGTGTAAATGAAATCAACTGGCAGAGCGTAATATGGCCGTATGAATGTGCTGCCTTCAATCTATACACACAGTAATGATGGAGAGCCCCTGATGGTGGAAAGCAAAGAGAGGACATCTGGCAGAAAGGGAAAGTGTTTTGTTTTTAAAATGATGGCACTGAACACCACAGGTTTGCTTCATCAGGTGGAGAGCGGAGTGTCCTATTGGTGGTGAAAGAAAAGCTGTAAAATAGCAATAACATTATAAGGAAATAGTTCAATCGGGAGAATCATTGTCTGTATGTGACTTACTCTGGTGTCTCTGCTGTGACGTGCTCACATGCTCTAATGTGTTGGAGCACTAGCCAATAGAAGCAGGAGACACTACATACTGATATACACCTGAGCAGGAGAGGACTCTTTAAAGTAGAGACACTACATACTGATATACACCTGAACATCAGCAGGAGAGGACTCTTTAAAGTAGAGACACTACATACTGATATACACCTGAACATCAGCAGGAGAGGACTCTTTAAAGTAGAGACACTACATACTGATATACACCTGAACAGGAGAGGACTCTTTAAAGTAGAGACACTACATACTGATATACACCTGAGCAGGAGAGGACTCTTTAAAGTAGAGACACTACATACTGATATACACCTGAGCAGGAGAGGACTCTTTAAAGTAGAGACACTACATACTGATATACACCTGAACATCAGCAGGAGAGGACTCTTTAAAGTAGAGACACTACATACTGATATACACCTGAACATCAGCAGGAGAGGACTCTTTAAAGTAGAGACACTACATACTGATATACACCTGAGCAGGAGAGGACTCTTTAAAGTAGAGACACTACATACTGATATACACCTGAGCAGGAGAGGACTCTTTAAAGTAGAGACACTACATACTGATATACACCTGAACATCAGCAGGAGAGGACTCTTTAAAGTAGAGACACTACATACTGATATACACCTGAGCAGGAGAGGACTCTTTAAAGTAGAGACACTACATACTGATATACACCTGAACATCAGCAGGAGAGGACTCTTTAAAGTAGAGACACTACATACTGATATACACCTGAGCAGGAGAGGACTCTTTAAAGTAGAGACACTACATACTGATATACACCTGAGCAGGAGAGGACTCTTTAAAGTAGAGACACTACATACTGATATACACCTGAACATCAGCAGGAGAGGACTCTTTAAAGTAGAGACACTACATACTGATATACACCTGAACATCAGCAGGAGAGGACTCTTTAAAGTAGAGACACTACATACTGATATACACCTGAACATCAGCAGGAGAGGACTCTTTAAAGTAAAGACACTACATACTGATATACACCTGAACATCAGCAGGAGAGGACTCTTTAAAGTAGAGACACTACATACTGATATACACCTGAAAATGAGCAGAATACGGCTCCTTAAATTTCTCCAAGGAGAAAAGTTGGTGATTTATTTTCTTACAAACAGAAGTTTTCTTTGGTAAAATGTCTGAAAAAATTCAAAATGAACACTATCGTTGATTGACTGATTAACAAATAACGTGCGAATAATCTCCAGCATTATATTCTACCTTTACAGTGAGCGGTATTCTCTGCAGGCGTATTATCGGCAGAGCGTGAATCAGCCGGGATAAAAAGGCCCGAGGCGCAGCAGCCATCAATCAGCCGGCACAGATACGCATTCTCTTTAATGCAATCCGATGTGATAATCAAGCACAATGCCGGTGATTTCTGCGGACTCGGGAGATTTGTTCCGATTGAGCGGTCCGTCAGAGAGGCTTTGATTGCTTCTGGAGCTCGGGATGATTTCTGACTCCAGGCATAAAGTGATGTTTTCTATCTGCCCTTCCTTTGGAGAATTACACTCACAATAGTTCTGCTTCTGAAAGAGCAAGATAACATTTGCTTGTTTGAAAAGAGGGCCCTAATTTTCAAGTGTTATTGTTCTTCCTCGCTGCCCCCTCCTCTTCCCTAAAACCAACCTAGAGGATGATCCTTATAATTTACTTTGTGCATGAGAGATGAGCTTCATCTAAAAGGCATTTCTCGTTCATGCAGTCACTACATTTTCTCTTGTATTTGTTTTGGCATTTCTTGTGATTTGGGCGATAATACATTTTGATTTGATTTGATTTGAATACAAGTTATATATAGAATAACATTTGAAACAATTAATACAAATAAAAAAAGGGTGTATAACAGAAATGAACCACGATGAGTGGCGCTGCACATGAACATGAAGAATGATTGAAGGGTGTGTGTTGGGTAAGGGTGCACACTCACACACAGATAAAAGAGTGTGTGTGTGTGTGTGTGTGTGGGGGATACTGTACCTTGGTTGGCCTCGGGGAGGGAGATGGTGGAGGAGATGGTGGTGGTGGAGGTGGAGGCGGTGGTGGGTTTAGGGGTAGTGGTGGGAGCATCTGGATGAGAGGACACACACACACACACACACACACACACACACACACACACACACACACACATACACATACACACACACACACACACACACACACAAACACACACACACACAACACCAACACATCACACACACACACACACAAACACAAACACCACAAGACACAGGGGGGAAGGAACAAAATGAGTAAAAAAAGCCATGACGATAAAAGTAAATTCAGTGTGATGGCGACGGCTATCTGCCTGATGTAACGATCCCCCCCCAGGCAGCAGTGTGTGTGTGTGTGTTTGGGGTGTGTGTGGGTGTGTGATTTCAAGGGGGCGGGCTGAAGACCTTTTGATGGAATTTGGGTGACTGGCAGTGCATTACATATTGTTCTCACTGCGACCCATCATCTGCTCTTACAGACGTCTCGGGGATAGACACTCTGTTTTATTAATGTGGGCTCACGCGCAACAGATTGCATGAACAGTTTCACCTAATTCTATTATATTCTGTTACTCACGTCCTTTATTTTTATATTTATTGTTTGTGTTCCCTGTCCTTGTTATTATTGTCATATAAATTAATTGTAATAGTTATATCTAAATAATATTAAATCATAAATGACAACAATGCTAATATTGTTGTCATAAGTTATATAAACAATTAATGAAATCAAATAACATTAAAATAATAATAATAATAATATTAATAATAATAATAATAATAATAATAATAATAATAATAATAATAATAATAATTATAATAATAATAATAATAATAATAATAATAATTATAATAATAATAATAATTATAATACATAATAATAATGACATAATAATAAAATAATAATAATAATAATAATTATAATAATAATTATAATAATAATAATAATAATTATAATAATAATAATAATAATAATAATGAATAACCAAGCATCTTGCTAATTGTTGTTAGAAGTAATCATTTAAGATCTTATGAACACCAGCTGCTGTTGTTCATAGCTCATTGTGTGCATTATTAATATCGCCAAGGAGAAAACTTGGTGAGAAAAAAAATAAAATATGGATGGATAAAATTAAAACATAACAACACAATACATAAATGAACACAACAACAGAAGGAGGGACCAATCACACATAAAACCAGCCCTAAAGCAGGGACAATATCCCACGGCTTCTCTTTTATACTTCATTATCCGGGGGAGACTCCCCACCCTGGAAACGTCCAGAGGGAGTTATCAAAAGTGACATTTCCCTTGTTGAAGTGGCAGCTGCACTGATATGAAGCCGCGGGCAGTGCTGATGCTTAAACACCCCCCATGCTGCTCTGATTGCCTGGACTGAAAACACATTCATAAAAGGTGCTGGAAAAATAAGTTTTTCATAGGTAGGAAGGACACACGTTAGTGACATATAGGTGCTATAGGAAGGAAAGGAAAGGAGGGAAGAGGAGGCAGGAGAGGTGAACTGTTAGGAGCAGTGTGGAAGTAAAGTAGAAATACTAAGATGTAGTGTCTCTACATGTCTTCATGCTTTAATGTTCAAAAAGCTCTTTATTTTTCTCATACTGCTTGCTCTGTTGTGATTGGTCAACAGCTTAGAGATGTCCCGCCCCTAAGCCCATCACGTACAATGTGTTGTTGTTCCATAATGATGTCTCTTTGGAAGCGCTGCTATTGGCTCAGCTCTACAACACATTGGTTTTGATAGGCTAAGGGGCGGGACATCACTAAGCGGTTGACCAATGACAGATAACAGAGCCGTCCAGCTAACCAATCAGAGCAGACTGGGCTCTGGTTTCAGACAGAGGGTGAAAAGAGGTGCAGTATGAGAAAAATAAAGAGCTTTTTGGACATTAAAGCATGGAGACATGTCAGAGTGATGTTCTACAAGATGAATGCCACTAAAACCAACTTAGTAGATTCTGTAATGAGTTAAACTAAAATGAGATACAACTAAAAATGCAATTCATCCCAAACCCACACTGATAAATACACACTACAAGTTTTCTTGACGCTTGTAGAGCAAGATGTCTTCCCTCAGGGTGTGGAGGTTGTTTCTCGTTTGGAAAGAAGTCTTCCCTGAGGGCACAAGTTGCTGCACAAATCTGTTCATAATTGTTATTTTAGAAATCTATTTCATGTGCTGGAGTTTAAGTCATTTCAAAACAAGGCAGAGAGGTCCGTGAAGCTGCTCAGAACTCCGCCTGAAGCACTTTTCTAAAATGCTAATGAAGGCCTTCAGGTGATCTGGATCACTATCCAAACTCTGAAATGTTTTTAATCTAACAACAATCCAATTGTTTCAGAGACAACCTTGACAAAACAAAAGGCGGTACGGAGCGATGCGGGGGGGGGGGTGATCCGTTGGGGGATTGGCTGGAGGATGAATCTGAAAAGTTTCATAAGGGGTTACAAGGACTGAGAAACGGCCCTGAACTCTGACCCAACTTTTTACTTTGAGCACCAGCGCTATATAAATGCAATGTATTATTATTTTATTATTAACAACTACAACAATTAGGACGCCCACATGTGTGAGCCATGGATATATAACAAGGACTGGACAAAGCATCTGAGGCGGGACCCGTTAACTCCTTTGTGGTGCAGAAGCCAAAAGGGCCTAACAAAAATACCTGGATTAACCGTAGATATAGAAGCGAGAGTGTTACGTAGTGATGTCACTATGTTCAGGAAGTAAACAAAGCAGTAGCATCAATAGGACTTAGGCGGGGGAATTCCAATCCACAGTGGTGCAAAAAGCTAAAATGGCCAATTGAGGGCGGCTGTGGCTCAGTGGAAAGAGTGCTGGACTTCAAATCAGGGGGTACCAAGTTCGAGTCCCACTGCAGTCAGCATGTCGTTGTGTCCCTGAGACACTTCACCCTTTGCTCCTGTGGGGATTGTCCACGGTACTGAATGTATGTAAGTCGCTTTGGATAAAAGCGTCTAAAACACCTGGATCAACCCTTAGTTTTTGGGCGGTCTTCCACATCTACAGAGACCAAGCGTACTTAAAGAGTCGAGACAAACTCCCATTAGAGGGAACACAGGGAATTTAGCCTTTGCAGACCATTTACATGCACTAAAACCCAAAGAACACACTAAAGGAAAGGGGAAACCCCCAAAAAGCCTCTTTATGTAAAACAAGCTTATTATAAATTCAGCTGAAACACAGATGGCCGCTGCTCCACTGGTTCCACACACACTTCAGAGCCTCTAAACTCCAGCTCGGGGTGGTGCTGTCTAATTGTTTGTATCTCTTCATGAACTGCGAGGGTCCAGCAGATGTTTGGGATCATCAGTGACAACAACTCATTAAAAAGTTAGCAGTAAAACGATAAAAATATCCAAATGTATGCTTCACTTTCTCCTCCTGGTGCTTCACAGAAATGGAGCGTATTGACTCTCAGAGTGTTTTGCTCCCGCTGAGTCGCCAGGCGTTTCTCTGATGAGGATTATGAATCAGCATTTCTGAATCACCGGAGCAGGACGGCATGAAGCGCCGACTCACTGCCTCCAGATCTGCTGAGTTTAAGGAGAAATACTACAAAACCCTGCAGGTAATTGCACCAAATATTAATATACCTGGGGAGTAGGTGCCTCGCTTCTGATTCATGGAACCGGTGTTTAACTCATGTGCTGAAAATACTTTATTTTACATTAGATATTCTTTATTTTCCAGTCAGGATTATTGCTTTACTGATAAAGTTAACGTGTTAAGACACAGAAACGGCCTTTAGCTTGTCAAATAAATATGTATGTGTTAATGTTAACAAGCTAAAACAACATTTAACAACCAAAAAACTAGCATTTTTCCACAGTAAATATCCATTTTGGACATAAATACAGTGTGCATTGCGGTCAACATTGAGTGGTAGTTTGGGTGCAATCAAATCCAATCAATTTGAGAGGACAAGCCCCTCCGACATAAAGCTCTGACGCTCAGAATATGACTGATCGTACAGAAATGCTAAAATCCCTCTGCAGTGACAGAAATTGAAGAAACCCAAAGTGTTTAAAATTCACCAGACGGAGACCGAACTCAAAACTTGCAAATTTGTTTTGAGAGTGATGAATGACTTTTCCTCCTCCAAACATTTTACACCAGCAATTTCTCTTCCACTCAAGAGCAACTTCAGCAAACTAAGAGGCCTCGCAGCTTCGAGGGAGATGTTTTTGGGACACTTTGCACCTCCTGGAAGAAAATGCTGGATGCCACTTAAGAAGCTAACTTGTGGAGAAAGTAGCGCTTGACTTAATAGAGAAGAAGAAGAAGAAGTGTAGAGTAAGTACTGAGAGCTACAGGTTCACTGGGAATGCTGCTGAGCAATAACAGGAGCAAGAGGCGGCCTGTAAACAACTTTAAAAAGACCCTCTGCACTTGGAAACACTTCAACATGTTTGTGTTTTCTCACCCCGCGAAGTGAGAGGCAGTGAGGGAACTGTAAGAGTGTCAGACAGACTCGCCATCACTTCTACATTCTTCTAACACTGCTGAGTTGCATACGCGATTCTGATTGGTCGATTTGGACATTCTGGAGTTCTGTTATTTTTCAAGAACAGACCGTTGCTAAGGAGAACAGACCGTTGCTAAGGAGGATCAAGGGACTGTGTGCAGTCATATCAATCCGCAGAAAGGTTAATATATCATGTCAGCCGTGGACACAATATTATTATATTTTGGAATAATACAACACTTATGAGTACTTATACTTTAATGTTGTTTTGCTAATAATACTTCTGTACTTAAGTAACATTTTGTACTACCAACTTGGGGGTATTTTAACTTGGAAGCCAATATTGTACTTTTTAGAGGCAGTGATGGAATGTAATGAAGTACATTGCACTTAAAGTACAACCTTAACCCTCGTGTTGTCTTCGGGTCAAATCTGACCCATTTACTACTTTCATCCATCATAACTTTTTTGTTTTACATTCGATTGCATTCAGGCTTTATGATATCCTTCACAGAAGATATTTGAACATATACAATTGATGATCACCACGTTCATTGA